GTTACTTCTAATAATTATTTTTTTTAAACTTAAAATACTCAATTTTGGTAAATGTAAAAAAGGAATAAGCATACCTGTATATTAGCTTTGTTTATCTTAAAAACAAAAAGGAAAAAAAAATCAGGAATTTATGAGGAATTTTGCTGATAAAATAAAATTAAAGATTGTATTAAACTGTAATAGGGATGTACTTACTGAAGCAAGATTAAGAAGAACTCTTGATTCATCTGTTACATAAGTGTAATGGATTTTATAAAGCTCTTCAGTTTGGAGTAATAAAGATGATGAAGTCAGATAGAGAATCCCAAAAACCATAGTCAAAGAGCCATCCTGCAAGTTTAGATATTGCAAAGAATTTAAACAAGCAATTTTAAAAAAATAATTTGTCTAATAAATTACATACAAAAGCAAAGTAAAAGAATTCTATGAACAAATTCAGTTTCTAAATAACCCATGTATTACTACACAAACTTGTACTCAGTTACAGCCAATCTCAAGCAGATAGAAGTTATTCATACACATTTAAAGCATCCCTAATCTTTCAAAAAATATTATTATTTTTACAGCAAAGGAAAGGAAGATAGACAAAACATTGTAGATCTTATACCAGTATTCAAAAGTGTAAAAAAGGTTTAAAGTATTTTTCTCCATAAAATACAAATCCTCTTAATTTAAAATGTACTCATAAATTATGAAACTAACTGCCCAAATATTAACAAAATATTCATGATATATTTTAACATATCACTCCTTAAAACTATTTTTAGAGTTTTAAAAAGGATAGTGTCTTTTTTTGTAATATTAATACATGTTGATTACATATACTCATTTACCTAATGAGCATATGATTGTAATATTTTAATAATAAAAATCTGCTTTGGTTTGCCCCTCCTCAAATGCAAAAATAACACTAGACTAATCTACAATACAATAAAATTTCTTGATATAAACTGTTAAATTATAAAATGTGTGAGAGACTGATTTACATTTTTATGAAAATGAAAAGTGTGACCACTTGAAAATCTGAAGAGACAGAAGACCAACCGATTCAAAAGTATAGAGAGAAAATACACATGACTAAGAACAGTGGGTTGATCAGGGGAAACTATGGACCCAGAAACCAATGACAGAAAAATTCCATTTGCATTGAGACACTTCCATGTAGGAATGGCAAATGAAACAAGCCAGAAAAGAAGTTAATCATCGGGAGAAGCTGGATCACCTCACCAATGACCAGAGAAAAACCAGGCATGAAGACAGAGGACAGGAAGGTCTGGATGAAACACCAGTGACTGAGGGTGGCAAAGAAGGGACAGAGACAGAGGAAAAGGTAATGGAGGAGGTAGTTGGAGCTAAAGAAGCCATGGAAACAACAGCTGAAACAGCCAGGAAAGAGCTATCAGAAGGACTGAACACGGAATGTCAAGGATGAATGAAATCACCCAGTGAAAAAGGAGAATGGGAGGATAGACAAATGTATAGTCCAATCCTGGCTGAAAACACTGATAGCCAGAGCAAGAAGACAAGGAACCAGAGACCAAAACCATGGCAGTTTGTGTTTAAGGGACGTAGCAAAAGCCTCAACATGAGGAGTACTCCACTGAAATCAAAGCCACTGGAAAAACAAAAGAATCGTGAGACAACTCCGTCAGATAAATGTTGTGTGGACAGGAGTCAGATCTACAACAAGAGCACTCAGAATATGACACACAATAATAGGAATATCGAGCGTGTGGGCCCCAAAAGAAGATCCAACGTATGAATACAGATGGATGGAGAATGGGTGCTGCCCTTGTGATTGGGATAAGCAACTACTGAAGAAAAGTCGGAATGGATCATTACCAGACAATTTCTGGCCAGATGGAGAAAATGAACCAAAACACAACCTACAGCAAGAAGCTCCAGGACATTGATAGGACCAAAACAACAGAATCTTCCAGATGATCAACCCACATCCCCCATTCCTGAAGGATGCATCCATGAAATGTGTAAAACTGGATAAGGAGGAGGAAGCGAGACACCCAGCAAAGTGTGAGTCATATCTAACCACCAATGTGGATCGATGACAAAAGTAGTAGGAAGGGTAATAATCCCTGGAAAATTCCATTGGTCATGAAAAGTCCACATATGAGCCTGACCTAAGGGGATAAGGGCTACCATTGAAGCTCACATCCCCAAAAGCAATATAACTTCACAAGATGTAATCAAATTGAAAACCCATTGAATGAAGTTGAAAAGGAGAAGGGCAGGCTTGACTGAGATATTTGTATAAAAAGAAAAACATCCAAACTGACAAGATATTGGATAGGTCGCAGTAAGGACTTCTCCAAATTGATTATCAGCCCATTATAGCTGCCTCAAGGAGTAGCTGATAAGGGGTAACAGGCAAACTTCTGTTTGGAATGAGCAAACAGTAGCCAGTCGACCAAGGAAAGAGGAAAGCTGAATGAATGCTCTGAACACCCAACAAAACATACAGGGCCAAAGCATTTGCGACATTCCTCTTTGTCATCGACACACCTGGGTTTCCTCCACCTGCAGCCTGTGAAAATATTGTGAGAACATTAACCTCAGAATTCATTGTAGAAATACATAAATCAAACAAGTGTTTGATGTAAAATATGTGAGTGTGAGAACAAAATATAAAGACTGGGAAATTTAGTTAAAGTAAAAGATTTCTTCAATGTAAAGAAAAAAATAATAATGAAAAAATCCCACTTTGGAAATTGAACTATTAAAATCACAATTCAAACGAAGAGCACCAAAAGAAAAAAATGTCTGAACATGAGTACTGCCAAACGAGAAGTGATAGTTCGGTATAATTGAATAGAGGGAGTCATATACATCATGAGAATATGTCGCACTCTTATTGGTGGAGGGTTGACGCATGATGATTTGCATGAGACATGCATTGGAATCAGTCAATTCCAATGGAGGAGAGATAAAAGGCTTGTGACATGCATAAAAAAAATGTTTGTACATAGAGGGCAGAACTAAATGAGAATAGCTATTTATGTGAAAGGAGGTAAGTACCATACTGGAAATATGAAATACCTCACTCAGTTCTCCTATTCAACAGTATTTTATGGGATCCTTTGGCAGGTTACTCTTCACTGCCATTAAGATATAAACTTCATCTACAACCAAATACGAGTACTACTTTTAGAAAGCCATTCAATTTCCTAAGAGCTTTAAATTCTATCAAGATTACTAAGAGGCAGCTCAGAAAACAAACTCCTATGTGCTTGGCACGACAAAGTCAACAGGAAAGCAAATATTAATTCACTTCCTAACTCTAGAAGGAGTCATCTTTACTTTGTAGCATTTGAATGAATGATAATTACTGTAAGACTCATAACTGTTTTAAGTGTGGAAACCTTATTATTATTATTACTACGAAGGCAGGCATCATTATTCTAGGGAATATCAATGGGAAACTGTTCCTGTTGAGATTATTGAGAACAATATATATCCACTGTTGTAAGCAGAAAAAATGTAACCCAGAGAATTTCAAAGCATAATCTTGGAAGATCATCCTGTAACCCCAACTAGAAAACATAAATCCCAAATGATAACTCATAAACTTAGTAAGAATCAAGAAATGTGGAATAACTAAACTTTGAATCTCAAAGTTTATTTAGGATATTACAACTGCTCCAATTTTATATTGCTCATGATATACTTACTTAGGTTTGATTTACAATCATTATCATTTAGCTGAATATTATCTCCACAAATAATAAAATTCCTAACATATGAACTTAGAGTAGATGAACTGCATATAATGTTTTAACCATTGCTATTAAAAATTTCTCTGCTCAAAATTATGTTGCTGATAGATATAAAAAGAACAACAAATATGTATGCTTATATTTTGATATTCAAAACTTCCTGACATGTGACATAGATACCAGTGATATTTACTAAGTCATATTTATAAACGTTTTGAAATTTCACCCCAAACAATTAATATTTATGTTAATAGCCTAGGATATTTCTTCAAATTCTAGAAAATTTTTTTAAAATTATACAAGTTGGTAATGATAATTAAGAATAGTTTAATAGTCATGAGAATCTTTGTAAAGGTATCAGAGTTAATCAAGACCTCAAGTTAAGCAGTTAGTGTGTTAACTATTAAAGTATTCAAATACTATTTAGGCTTAGAACTTACACCAACACTACAACTCTAGAAGAACAAGATATCTTTAATTTAAGTTACACACAAATAATGAGATGAAAAACAGGCAATGTTGGAACTGTGATTTTTCAGGGATAGCCTTTTATAACTTCCTGGAAGAAATAAACTTCTTTAGGTTATATTGAATCAATAAATTTATGAAGCAAGAATAATGTGCACTGGTAGCAGGATGGAAGGGTAAGAAGATGTGCAGAGGTAAGCATCCATTGGAAACACCTTTATAAGTAAGGAAAATGTTAACTTCTGAAACAATGTGCTTACCTCTCTGTACACATTGATAATGGAAGGTTCAGCACAATTGCAAAAACCTAGATGAGCTTCCTTTGGAGAAGGTGATTGAAAGGGAAAGCCTATGTAGTGGGACACCCTACAGTGTAGGCTTACTAGAGGGGTCACATTTGTAGAAGACCGCATCCACCTCATGCAGGGTATACTTGTCACCAAAATGAAAGTAAGAAGGTAAAATGTGCCACTATGTCTCAGAGATGGGTAGAAAAAGACTTGACAAACTGAGCATTTGAAAACAAGTTAATTGGACATGAAGTATAGTGTGGTTAGGACAATGACCAAACAGTTTGGTATGTGTTCTGTTATACAATTTACTTACCTTACATACAGGAATGAGGACTAAGTCTTTCCTGTCATGTGTGTAGAAAACAGTACTTCATCCAACTGGTCAAACCACCATACCATTGTCATACTATATAATAAAAGATGGCCTGCATTAAACTGATATGGACACCCCTGCCCTACTTCCCACCAATTTGTGTTGCTCACTCAGACTCTCTCCAGAGGGATTGCACCACTGGTGAGTAAATGGGAGTG